TATACATCCACAAGACAACAGTATCTTAAATGACTTATATTGCTCTGGCCGACATTTCTCCAAAAAAGACGACAGTGGAGACCAAAGCATCAAGAGACACAGCAAAAAGAACCAGCCCTTCACATCACACACATCTTGCTCCACTATAGAATGTCATGTATATAACAAGTTTGCACTGACTCAAAAAGAAGCAGAGTTTTACTGCATGAATTCAGTCATCTCCAGCTACTAAATACAAAGTCATCACTGTGAGCTCTAGAAACCTGAGTCACAAATTGCCAGGAGTGCATTGCTCCATGCCTCTTTTGCCCCCTCTGCTGAGCCTTGCCCTCCAAGCTCAGATGCTGAATTAGATGGTTCTTCAACTCACTTGTTACAGTTATTTTTAATGATCATTTTTGTAATCACATCAAGATACTACCTCATATTTGATTTGCATTCTACCACTCATGTGTTTATGAATAGATGTGAATGTAAAAACATTTTTTCCACCTGAGACACAAAAAATGTATTGAGACAACAGCTTGATGCAGAAAGCACACTTAATTTGACCATTTCTGTACACAATGAGAAGCTTGGTACAGAGGAAAGCCTTGAACAAATACTTCACCTTTCTGCAATTGATTTCACGTTCACTCTGAGACAGCCCATAGCTTCTAATCTCTGAAACAAGTACACTCTGTATGCTTCTGCTGCTACGTAACATACAAGTAGTTCTTTAAAATACTATTCCTATGAGACATTAAGAATGAATGATTTGAAATTCCAAAGTAACAATTACTGCTGCACATTGTGAGCTGCTGAGAACAAACAAATTTTCAAGGCGTAGCTAAACATAATCCTTTACTGAGGGCTAAAGAGTAACAGCAGCTATGGAACCCTTCCAAACAGAGTAAGAATTCATTTCTCTTTCTCCTGAAGTGATCACCCAGAAGAGATTTTAAGGTAACTCCTATCCACTGGGATTCTAGTGACAGCAGCCGAGAATCCTGCCTTATCATGTCCCTGAAGATAGGCTCTGAAAACTTAGCAACAGCCTATTAAAAATGTCATAGAGTCCAACTGCAGACACCAATTCATGTAGCTGTTTAGCTGCACATTTTACAGCATGTTGACCACGATTTCCTAATGACTGATGACGAAAACCAATTAAGTCCTCTTCCTGGAAAAGATCTATTTATTATTCCAGTACTTAAAACAAAACAGGTCATCTCAGGATCTGGCTATTTTTCTCCACTCCTAAAAGCTATAAACAGGATAATAAACAGGATAATCAATTATTTGATGAGATCAGCTCACCAGTTGTAGAGAGGGAACTTGTTGTTTTCTGCCCAGCTCTACTAATTAGATGCAAGCTGTGGCCAGAGCAACAGCAACACCTGCAGTAGTGCCCATCTTCCAGCATGAAGCACAGAAGCGTAAAAACCAGCAGATAATCCTGAGATTGCTTCTGTTCTACTCTTGCTTGGTTTCTAAATCATTACCATTCACTGGCAAAGGCACTATAACATTACGTAGTCATCAGATATAATGAAGTTGGCCAGAACAGTTTTATCCTCCGTGAACACAAAACAGCAACACAAACACAAGACACAGACTAGTGGCATTTCTCCAGCAACTTGCAGCTGCCCCCCAGGTAGCCGCTGCAAAATCATTACAGACTGTGCTGAGTAGAAAGAGCAATAAACTGCCAAGTTTCTGGTACAATACTACATGAGGTCCGCAAGAAAACAGGATAGGAAGCTTTGTGAAAGGTACAGCTTTTAGATCACATGCACTGTGCACAGCTGGAATCTCTAAGCTAGCAAGTATAGCAGTGTGGACCTTCCAGGTTTGTTATGGACACAGCGTTGCTGCTTTTCTGAGCTACTGCACCCACGGTAGGTAGTTATACCAGCAACCTATGCCAAATGGGCAAGCTGCCACTTCCAGGCCCAAACTGGCTTATGCAGAGTAGGCTCAAATGTGCCAGTATAGAACACTGAACTCTTCCTAGGGCTGCAGAGCACTGCAGGCCAACATTTGGGATCACCAGTATAACACCTGGAAATATATGTACCCTGTCTATTTCCTGTACAAAAACTCTTCATTGTTTAGGGATTAATCTTGATTACATTGTGTTACTGCATTAAGTGAATCTCTGCCATCCTCCTTCAACAAGGAGGAAAATCATTTCACCTCTAACAAAAGCAGTGAGTGAGAAAAATCTAGCAAGTCCCCATCCGTAACTGCTGGCACTGCGAGAATGCAGCCATGACAAGCTCTAGAACAGAAACATCCTGCCACTTATCACGAGCAACACTACAAAGTGGGTAACTATCAGACTCCGTGGGTTTGGCATTGACTCAAACATCCAACATGTAACACTTAACATGTAATACCTTCAGTCAGAGGTGTTCTTAGCCCAGTGTCAACGTAGTTCCTCAGAGTAGAAGCTGCTAATTGCTAAATCCACCATTAAATCCATCATTAAAATGGGCCTGGATTTTAAAGAGAACTCCTTAGATGGAGAGATAAGGGAGTAGAGGGAAAGTGGTGAAATGCAGGAGGGCAGGGAAGGAAGAGCCATGATTTGTCTTACTTCCCCTCCTTTAAACTGGGAAAGTGAAAGCACTACAGCCTCAACAGCCTGGGAAAAGCTGTGGTATCAGCAGAAATCTAATTCACATCAGAGCTGAGTAGATCGCATTTATTCGCAACTGAAAACAGATTTGCAGATAGATTTTTAAACAACTTTCCTTTATGTTAATGAAAAATGTCCAAACAAGACAGCCCAACAACAGAGCAGTGGAACATTTGTTAAATGATATGCCTCTCACCTCAGCAAGATACTAATCTGGTATGTCCATCAAACAGAGATATAATTACCTTACATAAAAGGCAGTATTTGAACCATGGCAATTTTTGCTGAATAAAAGAATGAGAGCTTGGACAAGAAGAAATCGAGGGAGAAAAGCAGTCTAGAAACAAAACCAGACAAACAGGTTCTATATCAACTTGTAACCTACAATAAACAGGTATCTAAAAACAAAATTTATCAGCTTTTACCCCACAAACATTTTTCGAACTTCTGCTTTGTGACCACAACCAAGAACATAAATGCACGGCACAACACACTAATTAAGCCTCGGGGTAATGGCAATGAAACACTTAGAGCAGGAGCATGGACTTAAGTACACTGATAATGAAGATATTACAGATGTTGTCACAGAGAATACATTTTTATCATTAGGACAAACATGCTCCCTAGTAAGGTTTTTCTTCCTTTAGCTTAAACCTGTAGGTTTGCAAGCTGTCCTTGAAAAAGAAAGAAGAGCCCCACACTCTTACAATTAAGGTGCTTTATCATAAAACATCATCCTGTGATCTTCAAATCTGTTTGCCCTTTGTGCTTTACAAGAAAAAGAGCCGGAGGCTTGAGCTGCTATTCCAAGTGCTCTGAAAAGAACAGGGCTATAACTGTGAAGTCTGTGATCAAGCAGTGGGTTGCCCTGCTCTGGCAGTTTGGTGGCCCACTGCTTCAGCGCTGCTCTCCAGCCATCGTGTCCCTGGTGCTCTGGGAAATGTATTTACACAGTTTGCCCTGACAATTTCTGATCACAGAACAACTCAGATCAATCTTTTAATCGTAAACAAGCTGTTCATCACAAAACATTGCAGGCCAGCCTTAACTGACAACCAATATGAAAGGATGATCAGGCTGAACTACTGAGATGGGCAAACTAAATATTGCATTCGATTTAATAAACAAATAGTGTAATAATAGAGGTGTTAATGCTAACAATTATACCAGTTTTTATTTCAATTTATGTTCACTCATTAACACTGAGCAGAAAGAAGAATTAAAACTATTGACTGTACCCATAATTTTTACCTCTGATAAGTGATTTGGAAAAATCTAAGCCATTTAGTATTAAAACAATCCCTGTAATAAAATGAAAGAAAATGAACTCCTTAATAAAAACCTTGAAAATAATGTTAGTGATCATTCAAAAAATAATATATTGAAACCATAAAAATAAAATATTTTGGATACTTTGAAGAGTGCTTATACATATCTGTAAACTCATTTGAGTGGTTTTAATGCAAACAAAGGTAAATAAAATGAGTAATCCAGCAGTGTACATGGCTCATCTCTGCATGTGAATAAAGACTGAGAGTCAACGTTCATTAATAAACTTTCAGATGGCAGAAAAAAAAACTTTAACATTCATTTTGCATTTAAAGTGTGTAAAAACCTGATCACCTGCCAAAGCACTGATTGCCATTTACCATCGCCATTACACAGCACTATTGTGAATTACTCCTTAGGAAACTTAATATACACAAAAATATCCCTGCAATGCAGGTTTGTACTGTGAGATGAAATGAGTGTAAGCTACGTTCCTTTAAATGAAGACCATTAATTAAAACTGAAGAGGAAAAAGGTCTAACAGCATTCTTACTCTCAACTTGGTAACTCAGATTAAAAAAAAAAAAAAAAAAAGTGAAGCTTCTATTTCTGCCCGTGTTTAAAAAAATTCAAGAAAAGACTGGCTGAATCACAGACAATAATGACATCAAAGAAGTACCTAGCATTTTCAGCTAGTACAAATCTCTAGGTCATAGCAAGCAAAGCTAACTAGGTCACAAGTAAGCTTAAAAACTACAACTGAACTGCCAAAACAGTTAAAGGCTATGCGTGAATTTCAAGGCCTCCCAAGCTCCCATCCTGTCTATACTTTGGCTGCATCTCTGGATGGAGCTTCTCCTTCATACATCCTACACTACTACACGCCCTGATCTTTAATAAAGACTTTTTTTTAAACTTATTTGGAATTGATTTAGAAAGTCCTCCAATTCTAGACAAAAAACTGGGGACCAGAGAGTACCACAGAAAGTGAACTGTTCAGGTGAAGTACCTATGGAAATACTTAAAATAATGATTAACACATGAACAAATGAAGCGTCAATATGAATAACAAACAAATGTAACAGAAGAAAACGTTTTTTAAAAGTACCTTATTTTCAGGGGAGCTTGAAGTCTTTGACACCAACGCTGCTTCAACAAGACCCTGCTCAAGTAAGGAGTCATATTTTATGCTTCTTTTTCTGTTCCTCCTCTCCTTGTTTGTTGGTTTTTGTTCATTTTCCTCTGACTGTGACACATCTGCACCATTGTCTCCACAAATGGAAGATTCAAACAGAGGTTTTCCATTCATGTAGGTTTTAGTGATTTTCAGCTTGATTTCTGGAGAACCATTCTTGATAGGAGTAGTGTTTGGTGGTGTTCCAACTCCTTTTATTTCCTGGGGTTCAAAGCGCAGCTTGGCATCCTGGGCCCCGGATTCACCATTGAACACACGAGAAGTCAGATCTTTCAACTTATCAGCTGGGATGAATGGAAGAGCATCATGGCCATTATATTTTTGCATGACACCTTCCTGCAGAGTGGCAGAAAGTTGTGCTTTGCCCAGGTAGACAGAACACTCACGATTCACTTCACAATTCTGAGTCTTCCCATTGGTATTTCCAAGGATCTCTGGTACTTGCTTCATTTTTAAGTAGTTAATTTTTCGAGTTAAAAGTTGAGAACTTCTTTTGATGCTAAAGTCCATCCAGCCCAGATGTTTCCAGTCTTACACTGCTATATGAAGACAAAAAAAAAGAAATCCAGAAAATATTTTTAGCAATACAGAGATGAGAAAAGCTGCAAAGTATTTAAATAGAGATGTCTCCAACAGCGTAACATTAAGAATGTATCTATTCAAGTTTTACTAATAAAAAGTGTTGCTTAGAAACTTCGTTATCAAAATACTTTAATATGTGCTAATACGCTTTATGTAAAATGCCAAGAAAAATAGATGATCAGTATTATTAAAATAAAAACATAAAGTCACAGCTTTCATTTTAATAATCTTTTATTGATCTACAGCAGGATTCTACCCATACTAACTACTCAGAAGTACCGCACTGTTTAAATCAAGTAAGATTTAGACACAAGTAAATATTATTTACAACAATGCTATGAGTTCAGATCTAAGAGGTTGCGCCAGAGTAAAGGGCTGCATTACTGTAGTACTACACCATGGACAGCAGCACGACAAGCTTCTCCTCCTCATTCTAAGGGCAGGCCCTCAGTTTTCCGTGGAAGCATCCTGAGGAAACCACACACACAGCTCAGTCTTTCACCATAGCTCACGGATTTCTGACTATGAGAATGAATAAAAGGCCTTCGTTTTGTTTCGTAAACATCAGCCCAGTATGAAGCAGCTCATCCTACAAGCCCATGGATACACTGTGCAAAATTTAATTTCTCAAGGTAACTTCTGTTATTGTCATTAAAAAGCTGGAACTCCATTGTCGACCAACGTTTTTTTTTCATACAGACTTCTGAAAAAATGAAAAGAAATACAGCAAGCCAAATCTACAAATGTACTCTATCATCAGCCTTAGGCAGGTTTTCTGGGCATTCTAAAATCTAGCCGTGCCCATTTCACCTTTATACCATCTTAGCAAACACAAATATCTGGCAGACAGATTCCTTTGTGCAGGCATTACCTCCTAGACCAGGCAAATATGACCGTTTTTCACTTACAAAATTCATACGTACAGACTCTTCAGGTTAGCAAGTCCAGAATATACGATATGCAGAAAAACATTGCCATAAATATTATAAAATTTCAGCACAATAATCATCCTATCTATGCTTAAGGTAACCCATTTCATGTATGATAAAGTCCAAGAGGCCAAGTCACTCCCAAAGATTCACCACATCCATTCTCATGTGTCCATCTCCATACAAGTTCTACAGACTCATCTGAGAGATACAAGCATGGGGTCAAAGTAAGTTACATTCTCCAGGGACAAACAGCCTGAAAATCTGGCATTAACAAAGGAAGAGCAATGCACCTGAACCCAAGGGAGAAAAGGTTTTGAATCTTTTTTTTTAGCCGTGTGAAGTGTGCATTAACAGTAAAGTCTCTGATATATGAGTAGAAGCTAGCGAAAGGTATTAACTGTTTTCACAGAAGAATCAGAAATAAATGGAAAACCTAAACTTCATCAGAGCAAAACAAAGAACTCACTAAATCAAAACAGAACTCATGCAATTTTGCAAGATCTTCTCCAAAAAACATGGACAATTTTTAAAAAGATTCTCAACCCAATTAATAATATGACAACATTTCAAACTGTAATTTAGCAGATTTAACTGAAATCACATTTATTTTAAAGTAACCACTGATGACAAATTCAATAAATCTTAGCAGAAAGGCCAGCCCATTGCAGAATGTGCGAGGCTTACAGTTACACAAATGATAGCAAATATCTTTAAAAACAAAACAACAAACAAACAAACAAACAAACAAAAAACACCAAACCAACAACAAAATCCCTAAAACACTGAATTTTTAGAAAATCCCCCAGACTCTTGATAGAGTAAACCAGAAAGCAGACCAGAGATTTGATTTCGGCTTCTACATTCAATCTATCTAAAAAAATAAGCCTATACAGCCTGAGCAGCTGTGAACGTGGTGCTCCCTTTTTTGTGGCTGTGGACGCCCTCCAGTGGCTATCCAGATGGGCCAGAGCACCAAATGCCACAGCTTGCTGCTTCCTTGCCCAACAGGAATGCTGCAGACCACAGCTTCTCATAACATGACCAGCACCAAAAATGTCTTGCGCAACTACTTCAAATCCATGAACTAAGCAGTAACTAAGTAAATAAATAAGTGGCCCCATTAACTGCTTACCAGGATCTGGATTTCTGAATTAAGATGTCAGCATTTTGTAACGCTGTCGTTTTCCATCTGTAATTCTACCAGTATTCTTTTTTATTCCTGCTTAATAATAACTCTTATTTTCATTACTTATTTCCTTAAGCTAGAAAGCTATCAAGCTCGAGGCAGACCAGGAAAAGAAAAAAAGCAAGAACTAATCAAATCAGACCATATTATTATTAGAGCGCTCAATAGAACAAACTGGATGAGCTGCAGAAGTGACAGTTGCAGAGTAAAGGTTTGGTTAATGACTCCCAGTAACACGGGGCACTTTGAAAAGCTGAATGCGCTGAAAAAGACTCCTCAAATTGCAGGAGCCTAAAGAGAGAAGAATTCCAGGTGCATGACTGGTAAAAGGAAGTCAGTGCACCAGGTCTATGGTAAATGCAAAGATGAAGGCAAAGACCGTAATCTGAGTCAGAAAGACCATCACAACTGGCAGCATGCAGACTTTAGAACGTGAGAAATAGACTGTGACTGTACAAAGAACAACTGAGTCAAATGAAAAGAGGTGTAGAGGTAGAATAAGGGTAAAAACACAAAGATATGAGTACCTAGAAGCAAACAAAGTCAAGGAGCCCCATGACAGAGATGACACTTGTAGAAAGCAACTTGCAGGCCAGTCATCATTTCTAGGACAACCCAATGGAGGAGAGGGAAACGGTCAATTCACTTGGAATAGAAACTACGCTGTGGAATTCTGTTAAAATTATGAAACCAGGAAATTTGCACTCACAGGAATAACAGAGGGCCTTGGAAAGAAAGGCAAATTTGAAGCTAGTAAAATTTTGCACAATTTTTGCTGTCTTAATTTTATGGTAGCACAATACCATAAACAAAAAGGACCGAGCATTTTGTGAAAGGAGGACAATAGAGCACAGATGAAGAAAAGGAAGAAAAAAGAAATTTCAGGCTGTACTGTGAGCTTAGATTTAAAGCAAGGAGAACTAGAATTCAGGACATGAAAGGATTAAGTGAGAAAGATCACAGAAAAGATCTGGCTGATCAGAGTTGTAAGAGTAAGGTCCTGAAGCAGCTCAGCATATGAATAGGTTTTGTGGTTAAAATAACTTCATTCTTAGACAGACATCTCCCACATAAACAAAAGCAATCCCTTATCTTTTTCTAGATGACACTGTATAGAAAAGGAAGCTTGGGGGAGGGGAGCGAAGGGCAGGACAATAGCACCATACAGTAATAGCTGCTAATGAGCTTAAGCTAGTAGCGTCCCATATTGACTGTCTGGTGACCCAACAAGTACCATTTTCTCTAATGAAGAGGAAAAAACATGAGAGCCAAGAAGTCTGCTGAATAAACACGGTATTTTGGCCTGTGAACAAGTAGTTTTCAGTAACCAAAAGGGAATATGACTTACAAGAGAAAGGTCTCTAGACATTTTAACAGAACAATGATACATCCTGGTAGTGGCTTTGTATGTACTTTCATAGTAAAACACAGGTTTTATGTAAGGCAAATTATTTTGCAGACAATTACAGTGGTTTTATTAATTACTTAAAGGTCTGTCATCTGACCGGAGTCATGAGCCAAACAGAGTTTGCCTGCATGTCACGTTCTTTCTTTACTGTCCAGGCCACCATCAATTATGTGATACTTATTATTCACTTCTTCCACATCTGCTTCAATTTCAGAGATGTTTTTCTTGTGTGTCAGAAATAATGGAGCAGTCCATTCTTTCCAATTTGGTCAAAGGGAGAGAACAGAGTAAACAACAACAAACATCACATGAAATACCACTTCTGTTTTATCTAAATGTTTTCTTAAAGTCATTTCTCAGGTACGCAAATTTACAGTAAGAGAACACGCACAAAAGCTACATTTATTATCTACAAATCAGGTTTCAGCTGGTATTAAAAAGCTAATAGATGGCTACTGTTCGTTTTTGTTTCCTGTAACTTTGTGGTAAGTCCTCTCCATTCTCTCAGCAATTTTAAGGTCAAAGGCCTTAAATTCCTGTTTTCAGATCAGAATTAGACATAATACTTGAAGATGAGCACAGTTATAACACATTCAGCTGAAAACCTGGAGTATGCTCATTCCTACTACCCCATATAAAAGAACAAACCAGAATATCAAATAGGAATAAAATCATAGGACATGCTCTCTGTCATGCATTACATTGTGACCATTCTTCACTGCATTAAAATAATGAATGGTTGCTAAAGGACTACTAAACACAATTTACTTTTAGAAAAAAAACACAATGTACAACTGAAAATTGTCTTGTGGATTTGCCAATAGTTGTCATAAACCAGCTCTATCCAGCAAATTCACAAAGGTTACTAGAGCAGCTAGTGGATAACTGAAAATCATTATACCAAAACTTCCTAACAATTTAGCAGTCCTAGAAATGTCTGGAAGACCGAGAAAAGTAAGAACTTCAGTACAGGGAGACCATTTCAATTTTAAAAGCACCTGAAGATCTTCATTAATCTTGCAACAATGATTCTGGTTAACCTCCAACAAGGTGATTTTAAAGCAGTACGTGAACGTTTCTTCATGCTTGCAGAACAGAACAATGATTATATAGAGACTTAGTATGCATTTACACTAAGACTAAGCTTATTTTGAAAACCGTGTTAAAAGTTTAGAGTAATCAGAGCACTAAGACTTGCACTTGCTTGCCACCAACTTTTTTTTTTTTTTTAAATTAGCATCCATATTTTTTTGTTCTTTTTCCCAATGAATAAAATTTCAGAACTTAATTGTAACAATCTGTTCTCATTGACTGAACCAAGTATTTACGGCCTTCTCCTGAAGGCAACAGGCAACACCAGCTTGTACAAAATACTCACTTGTACAGTTAGGAATTGTACAATGGCAAGTAAACAATTTCTTCACTGTAAATGTTACTTGCTATTGCTAAAGCAAGCTTACAAAACTGATTAACTTAACATTTTGTTCCTCCTCAGAAAAACTTTTTGTAACCAACCCCTGCTGCTGAGGATAAGCCTAGAAGATTCTACAAAGGAACTCTTCGCCATTAATTTGTTTTCTTCAAGATCACAAGATTAATTTTTTGACTTCTGAAGAAACTGAATTTTGTTAATTTCTTCCTCCCAAGGGTGGGTGGTGAAGGAAGAGGGATAGATGTGAGCAAACTCCTGTAAAACGTGGTATTATTGACTGAAGAGAGGTTATAGATCTCTTCTTCATTTGCAGGATCAGAGATCAAATAGAAAAGAATTGCTGCTTCTCTGACAATAAGCTGAGAGGAACATCAGTGCCTAAAATAGTAGAAATGACAAGGTTTACCAGCAGGATGATAGAACAGGTAGCCCTCAACAGATGCTCAGCAAGTGGCACAAAAAATCCATTATGTTTTCAAATGTGTACTTGAGACATTACTCTCTTCTGGGGGGTTCTGAATGGCTCAGCTCAAAAGAAGGCTGCTCCCTAGTAAAACAGCACTCAGCAATACACCAGTCAGAATATGTGCAGTCTAGGTACTTGCTCACCAGTGAAATGTCTCTCTCTCTTAAGAGGGCCAGAATTGTGTTTCCGACTTCTATTTTAGACTGGGAACAAAGAGCAAATGCAATCTCAGATAACAGAGCACTTACCTGCAAAGGTAATTCTTCATTTATGCTGTTCTTTTTTCACCTGTCCTAAGCCTACCTTGATTTCCCACTCCTCCCTTAATCCCTATTGCTTTTTCTTTTCAGCATCCTACCTCTGCTCCTTGCACCATGAGCTTCAGGACCTGGATCCTCTGGTTCTACATAATATTCACTGCTGCAGATTAATGCACTCTAATTTGTTTGTTTCCTCTTCACTGTAGCCAATGATTCTGCCCTTTCTCCCATGAAGTGACGGTAGCACAGTAATTGTCTGAAGCCTTGCAATGAGCACCATGAAAATTTCTGATCATGCATATTCTGAGGAGGGATGACCAAATCTGGGATGACATCACAAAACAAGTAATCAGTATAAGTAATGAATTAAATTGTAGTACTACCAAAACATTATCTGCTCCACAGAAATAAACAATGTTGCCCAGACCAGATTGCGAATAATTTTAATAAAGAAGATACATCCATTTTGTATGGACCTTTTAGAACTTTATCTATCCCTGCATTAAGAACTGTTTACCCAAGCAGGTGGATTCAGATGCCAGAAGCACTCAGTGCGCTGCAATCATTCTAAAAAGCACTGTTGTGCCACTAGTGATACATGAGGCCTTGTCAACAGCATGAAAGCCTAGCTATGCAAATTGTATAATCCTTAGCACAGAGCAGTATTTGTCTTCTGTATGAACAGAGACACAATGAACTGCTAACACACCTCTAACATGGACAGGTAACTCTCGTAAAAATATACAGAACTTCTTGCATCCAGCATATTAAATTTCATCTTCCATAAGGAAAAAAAAAAAAAAAAGACAGTAATACTGACTTGACTGCACTGTTTACTGGTAGACCTGCACCTATGACCAAATCTGATCAGTGTAACTATGTCTGTAATGTACTCCTGGTCACACAGTGCTAGTGCTGGTGTATTTCACAGGTATAACGTACTGTAACTATATACATCCAGTTATGTTACATCCACTATCAACGCATTATTTCAAAGTAAACTAGCACACGCATCTGGCAGACGTATGCCAGGAGCACTTAAACCAAGCCCAAGCTCACAGGAGTCTTGGAACATTAGACACTTACCAAACAAATCCAAATACTTCCTAGTAAAGTGGCCCTTCTGACTGGATACCATTTGAAGTATGAAGTACCTCCCTGTGCTTTAATGACCTTTTGTCAAAATGCATTACCAGCATTCCCATGGCTCTTCATTCCCTACTTTTTTCCACTTAATCTACATCAAGAATGTCTCCAGAGCAGAGATTAGTATGACTGTTACAGGTAAGGAACACAATTAGTAGCAAATTTTAGGTTTCCACAGATATATTATGGAGACAGAAGGATAAAACACTTTTCTGTCCAACAAGCCAGAGCCTTCTTATTCACTTCCCAACTCTGCCTTGAGGGGTTTACAGTGGGTATTTTTTGCCATTTTTGCTCTCCTTTCATTTAGTACAGTATTAGTTCTTGCACATTAGTTCACTGCCTTATTAAGATTTTTTTTTTTTAAGAGAAATTGAGGTAACTGCTTATCAGAAAGAAGAACATCCAGAGTTCTGATTGCAGAAATATGACAGCAACTACAATTGCTTAATTAGTTGACGAAGTTCAACTACCACTACCACTGCAGATCCAAGCCTTCTACTACTGAACAAATACTGCACACATTTCCTACTCTACATTTTGAGCCTACTACTTTTTTCTTCATTAATGACATACCTTGTTTTTGTATTAGTGCTGAATCCTGGCCATTTTCCAGACTGGATCACAGAATTTGTTTCCAGTTTATTCAGGAGTGCTCCTATACAAGAGCTTCTGATAGCCTACATCTTGCATCCGTAGAAAAATCACATCTTTAATTTCATTCTGAAGCGTCTGATTGAAAGTTCTTGGCAACTACTCCATAGAGCAAAATTATCCATATTCCTATCTTTCATCCTTACCTGCTCCCCAAGGTTAGTCTTTTGGCTTAAATCCCACTGGCTTTATTACCAGACTAGAATCTGGGCACTCTTTACTACAGAGACAACTCCCCAATTCAGATGTTTATGAGTACCAGCACAGCCAGGTTCTTTGCCCTGATGGCATCCCACCAAGGCTGGCAACTTCCGCAATTGTTTTATCTGATACATCACCTTGTGAACTTCAGCTCCACAGACTAATCCATGCCACAGCAGGAACATTTACACTTCAACATATTACAATGAATAATAAATGAAATGGGTCTCAAACATTATGATGGGATGCCGTTTTACTGCATCTTCTTCCTATTGCTTCTTTCAACCACCAGTTTTTCAAAATACTTCATACGGAGTTCAGATGACATTTCTAATAAAATCTTACCTAACTTCAGCTTTCTTTCTTGAAAATAATCTTGTCACAAAATATTCATCTCCTGTCCCTTGGTGTATCTATTATTTAGCAAGGCAGAACGGGACAACATCCACTCTATTACGTTTTTGATCATGGCAAAGAAAAGATGGAATTCCAATATTAGCCCTCAAGGCTAAGTATCTTTAAAGATAACTATTTTAAAATACAAGTTTTCTAATTTATTATGTGTTTTAGCACAGATGGAAGACGTCAGGATTTTATTATGAGGTACAGACCAGGAAAGGTTTCACAGAGCCAATTAAGCGCTCATCTCTGTTGGCCAACTGAGCAAGATTGGCCTGTGCTTCTTCAAAGAGTCACATGGAAACCTGGCTGTCTTTCACAGACAGCAGAAGAAAAATGTTAAAGCTTCTATGAAAGTCTGCTCCAATGTAAGAGCTCCTTATAAAGAACGTAAATAAACCTAAAAAATACTGAAATATTTGGCTTGCAGAAGTGTTGTTTTTTTTTTTTCCTTTGCTAGCTGTGTATTTGTTTGTGCTGCAAAAGGATACAGGTAGGAGGAAAGTAGCGCTTCAAGCTGTAGTTTTTCAGTCATTCATTCCAAATATGGATGAATACAAAACAGCTCCAATTTGTGCTAGGAAGCTGAATACCAAAGTTCAAAACAAGATCAAATGGTGGTGCTATCTTGCACCAAGTCAAAAATAGGACAAGTTAGAAGGATGGGGACAAGACTGGAAATTGAACTATCACCTGTTGAGTAACCCTTGTAATTTAACACATGCTTTAACTCATGTCTTTTATGAGCTCCAAATTTTGTCAACTACCAGAACCTGTAACAATCATGTCCAAAGTGAGGATACTCTGAAGTACATATGGGCCAGCACTTCACTTTTCCATACTTTGTCAATTTAATTTTTCTGGCATGAAACACTCAAATCAAGGTTTTCAAACATCTCCTTTCACACATAGCTCATCACAATGGAAGCTGCCCTTAACATCGGCAAAAAGCAGAGTAGAAAAACCTTCCTTTTGGTCCAACCATGATTAACAGGCGTTTGTTTGCTGCACACAAGAATTAGGCTTTGAAACAGTCTATTTCATGTCTCAGACAGAAGCAGCTTTTCAAAAATACCAGAGACTCAGTAGATTACCTGGTGCTAAAGTTTAGAGTTGCTCGTGAGCACAGTAATGCACAATGGACTGCATGCATTAACTTCTCATCTCCAGACACATGGTATAAGCATAGATGGTTCATTCCCCAGGAATTTTGGGTATTATCGTAGTTTGCTGAAGCTCAGAAGGCCAGCAGAACAGAGAATGATCTAACTTTCCATTATAACATGTTCCAAGAACTTTCAACTGATGCTAGAAAACACAAAAATCCCTATACTGGCCATCATCAACATGATAAAATGACTAAAAATAGTGCCTGATATATCATTTTTGTAATTTCTGCCAGTGTAAATTGAAAATTCTAAGTACACTTACACAGTGTCATATCACCTCCAATACCACAAGTCAAAGAGAAGCTAATCTGTAGTGAAGGGTTAATTCAGGTAGTTTCTCTCCTGTTCTTTAAAAATATTCTCAGAACCAAAGTCTTCCCAGTAACCATTAATTTTACAAAATCACTAACTGACCCATTCAAAAAGCCACTGGATTTACAAGCTGCAGGGTGACTACTGACATGCCAACAAAGATCTCCTCGCCCTGCCCCCAAATCCTTCACAATTATTTGCTAAAGGAAATCTGGACTCCCATGTCAAGCTCCAATGGGAAATTTTCTCTCTCTCCACTTTACCACATGACTCCATTTACTCCACTTATCCTGCTTGGCATATTCCTTCTCCACCTTCTCATTTACACCACCAACACCTCAGGGAAGGCATTTTTCAAAGCTACATTCTAACTGGAAAGCAGTGCCTCCTAGAAACACGGACTTACTTATCCACTTAGATCCACTTCAGTATCTCCATTCTTTCTTCACCCAGAGGCTGAATAAAAGAATTATACCAGATCATATTTACTCAACCATAAGGCCATTGCATTTGTCTTCGCAGAAAATGAAAGACTTCAAACAGTAGGCCACAAACACAGCATTCAAAAATGCAGTCATCATCAATGGCTTTATTACTATCTCCATCACATGTTTCTCCGTGGATGTCTGTTCAGTGAGCATTAGGGTATCTGCTGCTTTCAGCAACACCACTTAACCGTGCTTCCCATTGTGCAGCACAGTGCTTCCGGGGAGAGGTGAAATTTTCCCCCAGAAAAGGCAAGGTGAGGCAAGGTGCCTCAGTCTACAGAGAAAACAGCACTTGCGATTTTCACACATCCAACCATCTTCTATGCTTAAAACCTAAGAGACACTGTTGCAGTTATGTAAGCGGGAATCACCAGAGGTGACCAAAGCGCTGTGCAAATTGCGTTGTATCTTCTGATCATAAACTGCTTCTTTGATCCAGTCATCTGCCCAGAGCAGGTGAACTTACATATATGCACGGTTACCACACAGTCAATAGGCTTTCATCGACCACAAGGAAAGAGGTGCATTTATCAGCCCAGAGAAATAAGGCCTTGCCTTGTGAGCGTACTGACAGGGGTGGAACAAAAAGGAAGCTCAGTGCAAAAAGTGAGAGGTGAATGGGCCACAAACAATAGGACACTGAAAAACAGTCCCTTCTCTCCATTCCTCTCTTGCCTTGCTAGTGTGATATTTTGGAAATAAACTCAGACATATACACAAGTATGCACACACACATACGTATATATGTACAAGCCTACATCCACACAGATCAGTTTTGCCACCCAAATATTAGAAAGCAGCCATCTTCCCCCCCCCACCCTTGTCATTTTTGCTTCCAGTCTAAATAGAAAGTTTTTTTTTTGGTTGTAATAACCAGTCCTTTGCATGCAGTCGTAATTTAAATGCAATTTTCTCATCTGCACAGCAACCACCGACTTCACAGAAAGCATGCAGCCCTCCTGATAGTAAAATACAACATTTTCCTATTCTTGCTAAAAGGAAATACATATTTACATTTAACTTCAAATGTATAAACGACTTAAATTCCACACTCTCGAAATATCATGGCCTAGTTTTCTTCTGACATCTTCAAATAACATTTGATAAATTAATAGCTTTTACTGTATTTTCCATATCTGAATTTTTCTGAACATGCGTAAGGGTGGAATAATCACAACAATCAGCAGTGCAGCCTCCAGGAATACCCACAGCTTTTACATTTAAACTCTGTGGAAAATTGTCGTATTTTCTGATGGCTACAAACAAGATGGAAATCTCAGCGTGTTCTAATGAATAGGATATGGATACCCACTGCAACAACCAAAAAACTGCATACATGGTGAGTACGGAGCCCAGAATAGCCCTGCAGAACAGTGGTTTTATGCAATGATTACATCCATGCTATGAAATTAAGTTTATTAAGGCTGATATGCTGCATTGCCTAAGCAAAATTCCCACAGCAAAACAAGCAAAGAATAGCTTCAACAATAAATCGCCGAGATCCTACAAATGTAGGCAGATTTTGGTGAGGAACCCATTGCTTCCTTCAGCTGAAGCCACGCACTCCATGTTTAAGGAATTCCAGTGAACATCTAAGCGCACACAGACCAGCAGCAAGGACTCTTTGCAAGATCTGTTACAAACTTCATTGCCAGCCTTTAATGTTTACAGTTACCTTCCTTAGATGTCTGAAAAGGCTTATAAACCAAACAAATCTTCCTTTTTTTTTTTTTTTTAAGCAAAGAAACACAGAGACCTCACTGAGTTTACTCAGCGCAAGCAGCACTAGCTCCTAAATCTGTGAATCGTTATAAACCGATTTTAATGCAAATGTCAATAAGGAAACACACGAAATACATGGGCAATGAGCGATACCAGTCCCCTGCCTGCTTAATGGCTGGGAGCAAGAGGCCTGTTTTCTCTGTAATCTGTTGAAATACAGTGTTTACTCTCCCTGCACTTCTACCTTGTATGTAATCCTCCTTTCACTCGACATATTAAAAAAAAAAACAACAAAAAACCAAAACCAAAATGCAAGCATACAAGAAGTGTGGCGAATTCCCTCCTCCACCCCCAGAGCGGTAAAGCCACAGCGGATGAGCTGTAACTATGGCCTTGGGAATACAAGTTCCCCAGGCTCTTTACCACACAAACACCAATTCAAGTTGGAGCCCCATCCTCTCCTCAGTGAAGACGGTGACGAGGAGCCCTCAGCCCTCGCGTTCCCTCCCGTGTGCTCCCAGGGAGGCTTGGGTGCAGGATGGAGCTCAGGAGGGTGTAAGTGGCAGCAGGATCATCGCACCAGCGTTCGGAGGAGGAATAAATCAAACATGGCTGCTTCCCCTCCATACATCTCCCGAGTTACACGCACTCCCGCTGCCGGGTGAGCCGGTCCTACCCGCGGCGAAGGGCACGGGGCATCTCCCCGATCCCACGGCCACGGGGGCGAGCCGGCCGCCCCCGATCTCTCGGGGGAAGGAGGTGAGGCTCTGGAGGAGGGCTTTTTGTGTGTGTGTGTTTTTTTCCCCCTTCTCACCTCCCCCCCCCCCCCCCCCCCCGGCTTCTCCGTTCTTTTCTGCGCTGAGCACTGATTGCCCCCCCGGCCCGCGGCGCTTTATGCAGCACCGACCTCCCGCAGCGCCCACGGAGGAGGAGGAGGAGGAGGAAGGCAGAACAGCATCGCTACTTTCCGCCACACAGCAGTCAGACTGCAGCCTGGGGGCGGGGGGGGCACCAAGAAACGATACGTAAAAAACACAAGATCTCCACGCGGGGATAGCGGAGCTGCGGTCCGCCTGAGGAAGCGGAGTCGCGGCTGAGGGGCTCCAAAGTGGGGGGGGGCGGGGGTAGCCGACCCCCAGCCCCACACCGCCACCGCACGGCGCCCGGCCTCTTAGCGCTGCCCGCAGCATCCATCCCCAGGGCGCCGCTGCTCCCGCCTCCCGCCCGGGGCCTGTGGGACCGTGTGCCCCGCCGCCGCCGCTGCTGCTGCCGCTGCTGCTGCTGCTGCTGCTGCTGCTGCTGCCGCCGCCGCCGCCGCCACCGCCGCCGCCGCCACCGCCGCCGCCGCCTCCTTCTCCTCCTCCTCTCCTCCCTTCCTCTGGGAGAGCAGCCCGCCCGCCGCGCTCCCGGCCCCACCGACCTGTGGCCTAGCGCATCCTCGTCCCCCGGGAGCCGGGCGGAAGCGGCGGCGGTAGCTCAGGGCCGGGGAACCGGCGGGAGCCGAAGCGACTCGGTAACGGCAACGGCGGCGGTAACGGCGGCTCCGGCGATCCTGCGCGGCGGCCCCGCCCCCTCCTCCGGCCAGAACCAGCGCGAAAAATCCGGCGCGCTGATTGGCCGCCGCCGCTGCGCTGCCCCCGGAGCGGCTGTTTCAAATCCCCCCGCACGGAGCCGCCCGCACGCGCGGCCCGGAGCGGCGCCCGCCGTGAGCGCGGGGCGGCGGCAGCGGCGGGGACCGCGCTGGCGGCGGCGGGGAGGAAGAGAAGGGCGGGCCGGGTGCCAGGGGAGGGAAGGCCGTGCGGCGAGGTGGGGCCGAAGGCGGGAGCTGCGTGGGGCCCGGCCCAGGTGGGCGAGAGCGCGTCGAGGGCCCTGAGCGGCGCGGCTTTCCTCCCCCTCGGACTCGGAGGCTCTCCCCGCACCGCTGTGGTAAGCGCTCACGGCGTGCTGTGTGCTGAATGTGCCTTCCTCGGGTACGCTGTGTGGTAAATGTGCCTTACTCAGCAGCCCTACATATGTATTCCCTTATAAAAGAAAAAAAAAAAAAAAGCCCGAGCTGATGTGATGTGATTCACAATGCGACGTGAATGCTCCGACTTCCATGCGGTTCTAAAGGCTTCAGGTTGTATAGGAAGCTAGGTGTGCCTGGCTGCGGGTTGCCTGGGCTGCTTGTGTGGCCTGGTTTATTTTTCTCTGGCTTACATCAACCAAAGCACGTGCGCTTGCAATTTGCCAGCTGAGTGCCTGGTTCCTTTTCCAGGTTGAATCGGCAATATCTGTCGTGCTCTGACAGGAACAAGCATTCCCATCAAGGGGGTGGCCGGCTGCCACAGGGCTCTGATGCTTGCTGCGTGCTCAGGATGCCGTCCTGTGCTGATGAAGACCCTGCTTATGGGAAAGGTCAACGGCAGGTGATGGAGGAATAGCGCTGTCCTCCCGAGGGTGAGTGCCTGTGCCCCAGAGAGGTTTCCAGTGCTGGCAGATGTGGGGGGTTGTATGCCTGTGCCTAATGGTGGGTGCACCCTCCTTACACTGGCAGTTAGCAACCAGTTTGTGCTTACTGCTAATTACTTAGTAATGAGAGTGTTAATCGTGGGCTGATTAAAGCTGTAATCAGCTGAAGGAGACCTATCTGTCGTGATAAAGGTATCTTAACTTGTTTACAGCCTGGCTATTAAAAAAAAAAAAAGCAACAAACATCTTCAAGGTGTTAGGCTTGTGGGACTTAGCTTCTGGATGTTAGTTGTACAGTATTAAAGAAAAGGAGATGTGCCAGGGGAACAGGTTGGGTATTAGGAACAATTTCTTCTCAGAAAGAGAGGTCAAGAATTGGAACAGGCTGCCCAGGTGGTGGTGGACTCACTGTCCATGGAGGTGCTCAAGAAAAGAGTAGAGATAGGTGATACTGAGGGACATGGGCAATGGGCGCAGTCTGAGGGTTGGACTAGGTGATCTCTCTGGTCTTTTCCTACCTTAATGGTTCTATGATTTTGAAACAGCTAATTTGGGTTAAACATCATTGGCAAGTTTCCCGTTTCTTCAAGTTCACTTACATTTGCAGGAGAAAAAAGATGCTTCCACCTCTAGTAAGAAAGTAAGTATTGGTACAAATTAATAGATGTACTCGTGTGTGGATCCTATTTTGCTGCAGAATGGCATGTATAGGAGTGCTTTTCTTCTGTAGTTGATCAGTAATGTGAAAAATGCTGAAAGCCAGATGTGTGGTACGTGCTTGAGAGTTGCTGTTTTCTGCTGAAAAAGCTTGTAAGAAATGAGGTTAGTTATCAATAACTGATATGCTACAAATGCATTCTCTGCTCTCTTGGCAATAAGTTCTGTGCTCAGGCTTAGTAATATAAATCCTTCTATTTGCAATTTTTGAAAAGAGAACAGATTTTTTTATTCTGTACTTATTACTAATCTACAAGATCCTCCAGATAACACAGTTCACGTGTTTGCCTTCTCTCTGTCGTTGCAGATTTAAGTGGAGGGATTTTGCTACCATGGTCAAGGTGACATGAAATCTTTTTTGCACCTTTCAATTCATACAGATTATTGGCCTTGTCTGCACTATTAAGATTTGCAACCATGTAATGGCTTCTTTAACTGGAATGGCACTGACTCCTACTGTATGTAGACATCAGTGTGAATTTGAAAGTTAAGGCACATTTAGAGATAAACCTACATATGTAGTTTTTATTTCAAACCCAAAAACAATCCTTGTTGTCAATTTTTGTCAATTTTCTTGAACTCAGGCCATGATACCGAAGTCTGTTTTTCTTTAGCAGTACACGATGATGTTGATTTTCTGAAAGTAAGTATTTGTTATTCCTATGTTTATGAAAACTGAGTTTAAATTCTGCTATGCAGGTGTAAATGACTACATGCACAGTGCAGAATGAGGTTATGCTGACAAATAGGAGCACCTTGTTTTTGAGTGATGGCCTTGAAATAGCTGAAGTAAATGTCCCCTAATCTGTTGCTGGTTGCAAGTTTCCAGACTGAACCTCTAGGGGGGTTTTTACCTTTTCATTAGCTGTTCTTGTAATTCTGAATTAGCTGGTACTTTTCATCAGTTTGATGTTTCTCAGACAGCAGAACAGGTCACTGAAGCCAAATGATGTATATTCAGAGCAGATCATAGTACTCATTTATTGAGTCCTGTTTCATTTGGTATCGAAAATTTTATTGCTCTTTAGGTTCAACTTTTGTTAACAACCAGTATCAAGATCAATATCTCTGTTCAACTCAGTAAATGAATTTAAATAAATGTAGCAGTTGCATATCGTTCTAGAAACATTTATGTTTTAGAGATTACTAATTAGTTTCTAGGCCGAAGGATAATTTGCAATTTAAACACTTTCCCAAGAACATTTCCAGTATTTATTCAGCAATAACGGTAGTCAGTGCCCTTGGCCTTAGGCATGCATTAGGGTACTCTGAGGTTCTAAAGCAAAGGAAGATAATTATTTTTGTTGCCACCACAGGGACAGGCTGTGCCTGAAAGGCTAAGGCCTGTACTGCATTTGGTGTAGTTTCACTGCATTAGACAGAGCTCTGAAACAAATTGAATGTGCATGGCACTATTCCACGCAACAGTGCAAAAATCTCTCCCCTGAGAGTCTGGTCAGCCCTGCTAACAAGGGAATGGGGCACATTTTGGGGCATCTTTCACTATTAGAAATAATGGAGTTTTGCATTCTCTGTACTAAAGCTTTGCATCTCTCATGCCAAAGGCCGAACAGAACAAAGGTGCTTTCAGCAAGCACATTTAATCTAATTGTAGATCTTTGTGGTAAAAGCTTCAAGTTCATATTTATCTTCTGTACAGATCCTAACCACTGATTGCTCTGAATCCCTTTTTATTTTTGTTTCAGATATGGGAGTGCAGTTGACAAATTAATCAGACCTATAAAACAGCACAGGCTATCCACAGTTTTTACTGTCCTGCAGGTGTTTAATGAGATAAGAGTTGTACTAGCCTGTTTAGAACCCACAAATGGAGATATCTTTTGTTTTGCAGCTTTGCATCACTTTTTCACCTTTTAAGGTTAAACACTGAATATGCTTGTAGTTCTAATAAAAACGTGAATGCACTGGGAGAGTTAATGCTGCCTGTTCTATTCTGTGGTAGCATTGATGCAGAGATATCTTCCCAGTGTCATCCTTCATCACCGTTACTGCTCTTTCATACCGTCAGTTGGTAACCCATCACCTGAGCTCTGGCTTCAGCTAGCAGTCCATGATTTTTCTTAGGATTAACATTGAGTAATGGTTATTTCCAACCTGCCTGAACCCTGTCTGAATGTATCCTTAGCTGTGTTACGTGTAGGCAGAGCCACTGATCTGTCAATATGTCAGTCTACGTGTCACCAAGACTGCTAAGAAAAATCTTCATAAGCACGTGTGCATTTGTCTTCAGCCATGCAACATACTGTGTTCTGCTGAATATGAAGAGAGCAAGCTGCTGATGTAAAATTAAGAAAGAATAACTTAAAGCAGTGTTTCCAAATAGCTGGCATTAACTGTAGCACAGTAATACTAAAATTGTAGTTCTAAATGAACCTTCGGGAGCCTACATTTGGTGATCAATTTGAATGAAAGTTCAGTGGGAATGGTAATCTGAAAATTGTGTATTACAATTCCTGAAGTGTTAAATAATTTTAAAATGAGAAGAAATGGGGATTTCAGACTTCTTTGCACGTTTTTTTTTTTTTTTTACAGTCTCGTAAAAATGGAGCAGTAGTATTTTTTAATTGCATGTCGATTCTTCAGGAAGAAGAAAATAATCTGCTTAGAGAATTTCTAACATAATTAGTCTATCCTAATGAGAGACGTTTGAAGTGCAACTGTACCTTGTAGTTTGAATACTGTTCTGAGTAAGAAATTAAAACCTCGGTGAAAACAGACAGCTAAATGTGAATCTTCATACTATGAGTTATGCACCAGTCTGTTCAGCAGACTCATTTTTCAGTGGGGAAAATAATGGGAGTAAATGTCACTACTCGCAAATAAGCTATTTCTGTTTGCATCATTTGTGCTGAGCAGAAGGAAGGAAAGTGTCACTGAGGGAGCAAAAAGAAGAGTAATGTTGAAGACATGACAGAGTGGGATACATCTTCAGGGGAGAGCAGAGGCCAGGAGAAAGAAGGGCTGAGGATCACATCCCTGCTGTTGTCCAGTGTTGGGATGATAAAAAACAGCTGTATACCAATTTTAAGTAGCTAACGTACTCCAGCCTGGTATAAGTAAGTTCAGTGCACTGATAAGTTATCTGTATGAGTTATATGTCTCTAATTACCTTCAACATCAATATGACTTAATTTAAACATTCCTGACATTTAGAATAAAATAAAGCTATGTGGAAATACACAGCTTGATTCAAAATGTTAACTCTGCTCTCTGTCTGCATAGTATGCCCCTGTGTTTATAAACATAATCTCTTTTAGAAATATACTGAAATTCATTAAAAATCAGAATGAATGTTTATCTTTAGAGTAGAATTACCATTGGTATAATTTTCTAGATCTTAGCTTGTTAAAACTAAAGCTCAACTCTAACTCTTACCTTTTGAGGTTTTACTGTTAAGTTTGTTACATTTCAAATTATGGCTTTGCTTAATCTTCACATAATCATGGTTCAGTTATAAGCACAAAGTGGTAAGCTTTTTATTAATGTCCTGAAGTTTCTTTTCATTTTGGCGGAGAACTGACTATTGATATTTCTACTGTATGCCAGTGCTGAAGAGTAAAGTTTGTTACGGGTTGAAGAGACCAGATAGATAATGCTACTTCTGTTTTCAGTGGACTCTAATGCAGTGTTTTATTTTGCACACATATTAATCTTTGCTGCCTCGATGTGGAATGGTGAGGGTAACTATGTCAGTCCGAAAGGTTAATTTCATTCTTCTTTAAGGCATGCCATTATTCTGTTAACAGTAATTGCTCTTTTTTGAATGATTAATTTCATCGTGTGAACTGTTTCTAATTATGTTGGTGGCTGGCAATTTCCTGGACTGAGAAGCTGTAGCTGTGATCACATCCCATTTACTCAATATATATGCTTTGAGAGGAATGCCCACTGACAGACATTTTCAGAAATATTCACTAACTTTGAGAACTGATTGGGAATTTATATAAGATTTCTGGCACTTGTTTTATATTGGTGTTAGGTACTTTCAAGTGTACTTGACAAATAAGGGCTGAAACAACTGGATTTAAGCCATAGGCTGAGCAGGCTTGCAAATGCGGACCTAACTGCTAAATTATCACCTGTCCTGTTTTTGCTGTGAAAACTGAAAGGAGTAGGATGTGTTTCTTGCACATTTTACCATGTTCTTACACTGTTCTTGAGCTTGATATGCTAGCTTCTCTAAGCTATATTTATTCGCTTCAGTTATTGTTAATGAGCCAGAGCTTACACTTTGCAAATCAGTGCAGGCGTATTATGAGAGGCTTGGTGAACAAGCCCTAGCAGGAGGTGCAAGGTGGCTGCTGAGCTGCCTGCAGGAGTTAATGTGGTTCACTGTCAGCAGCTCAACCCTAAACGCAAGAGTGATTCCACTGTGGCAGTTCTGGCTCCAGCTCTGGATCTGCATCCAGTTTACATAGAGTACAAAGACATCATACTGTCTCAGTTGCATTTACAGCAATTGAATTGAACAGTGATTCGGATGAGGAATGGACTGGTTGGAGGTGTTGGGGCTTAGCCAGCACATAGGAGCGTCCTGGATGAGGGAGGATTCACCTTCTTGGCTGTCTCATGCTGAAGCTGGGACCAGTTGCTAACAAAAGCATCATTCTCCTGGATGTACGCCGTCATATGTTGTGTACCTCACCTCTTGAAATTGCTACAGCCATTGGGCATATGGTATTTGCTGAAGGGCTGAGGTTGTGTGAATCTTCTGGGTTTGAAACTGCTCTTCAAGGCAAGAAAAAACTGTTTACAGTATCCAAAAGAAGGAGGTAAGCAGTTTAATGGCACTTGGAGATTTCAGGAGTCTAACCTGTAAATCTAGGCCTTAACTTCTGTTTTATCCCTTTACAGGGGCTACAGCAGGTACAGTTGTCTTTGGCTGCAAGTACATCCCTCCCAACATGCAACTTATCTAAAATAACAGGATCCCTAAGCAGAGTGATACTTCAAGAGATTAGACAGAGGTCTTCACAGTTTTACTAACTGCTTTGCCACAGCATACCATCTCAGAGGCATGTTCTATGCATTCTTTGTTTCCTGTACACTTGTAAAACAGTTTGACTTATATGTGGAGTCACTGGCAAATAAAAAGCAAAAATATCACCTTAACTCTTCACATTGTGAGTTGTCTCTTTGCAGTTCCAATTCTGTATCTCTCTGTGTAGCTGTAGTCCTCACCAACTGTGGGAAACCCCTGGTCTAGTTCACTCAACCTGCTGGAAGAAATAGGTGGATGCCTTTGTGTTCTCCAATCTGTATAATCGGTCCCTGAGGATTTTTTGGCAGGTAGGTCTTCTACAGACGTGCTTTATAATACGTTAAAGAACTTCATCAGACTTCAAATGGCTAGTTAAAATTGGCCTATGAGTTCCACCCCACCCCATGGACACACATACTGCCTCTGCAGCCCTGTATTGCCCTTCTTGATTGCTGCTGCTACCTCAGAGGCAAAGACATGAACTGTTTGTGATCTGCTTGGCACTGCTGCTGTTTTCAGCTGGGTATGCAAAAGTAAGCCAATCCTTTTCCTGAGTGGATCATGAGTTCCTGTTTCAGAGGCAGTGTGCTAGGACTGGAGTTGGCAAGAGCTTGTGCTACATGACTACCTGTCTTCATCTGCCTGATGCCATTCTAAAACTATTAAATATTGGCTTTGTCAGTTTCCTGACTTTGCAAACTGCAAATAGAAATCTGAAAGATGCTTTGGAGAAACTCTTTCGAATGCAATATAAACGTAGTGACTAAGCCTCTGGAAAGATCTACAGGTATGCCCACACTGGGATGGTTTCTAGGGCTAAGCCTGTCTGATTTAGAAAAGGCCATGAGAAGTCATTGGTTCAGTAGGAAAGACTTACTCGAGAGTTGTGTTTGAATGATATGGGTCTTGGAAAAGAATTCCACCTTGACAGTGGTTGGTATTAACTCAAATATGTGCTGTAGCTTGTAAGAAATGAATTCTAGGTCAGCTTAAATAATCTGTTGTTCTAGTCTTCCGTTTCCCTTTCATGGCATTGTAGGCAAATTTATTTTGATTTGATTTATTACCCAACTGCACTTGCCTTCTAAAAGCTCTGCAGATCTGGGACTTAATCTTCGTAATGTTTGTAAGGCTGTGGTACAGGAGCTCTCTGTTCTGTTGTCCAGTATGCAGTATTGAAATATAAATGCTAAATAATGCTGTCTTCAGAAGCATGAACCACATGTTTGGTAAGCTTTTGGCACACTTACAAGTGTGTGCCAGGTAGAGAAGCACTTCAGAGTTCGAAAGTTGAACCCCTTCTGAACTATAAGCATCTCATTTTGGCATGATTCCTAGGGAGCAAATCTTTTTCTCTTGTCCAAGCCTCTTGGATTTATGTAGGCTCTGTGGAGTTCACTGGTGGGTTTATTTGGCAGGTGGGCCTTATTAACCTGCCAGCAAGAGACTGTGTGACCTGCATAGGTTTGTATAGCTTGTAAATAAAGATTCTGTCAGGGAAGGGAGATTCTCTTGTGCTTTAGACTATTTATATCTCTTAACAACTGTGACTGCTAAAGTTTAGAAAGAAACAGAAGGTCTGGGATGCGAGACAGAAAGCCCTGAGAGAGTCTTATGTGTTCTGTTTGGATTGCTGTGTTAACATCCTAAAATAAACACAGCATGTGAGAAAATGAGGAAAACCTTTTATAGTAATTAATTCAAAGACCTAAATTATTGGTTATTGAATGGAAAATGGCTGAGCTTGGCTGCAGAAGACAACAAAATACCTCTTAATTTAACACTAGAAGCTATTGGCAATCAGTGGGAGCAAGATGTTTAATGAGCTTAATTTCCCCTATTGGTTGTTTGTTTGTTTGTTTGTTGCATCGTTCTCAAATTTCATAATTACTCATTTTCAAACTTCTACTGATTGGGTTAATAATATATACAATAAGTTTATAATAAAATATAATCACCATGAAGATCATAGAATGGCTTGAGTTGGAAGGGACCTCAAGGATTGTCAAGCTGCAAGCCCTCTGCTGCAGGCAGGGCCACCAACCTCCATATATAATGCTAGCTGTGACTGGTGGACTATCAGTGGAAATGCTTAATCTGGAAAAAAAATGTATTGAATAAATCCCTTCAAAAAGTCTGTTGGTCTGTCTGATGCAGACCTGGCTTTAGAGTTCTCTATAATTTTTTTTGTAGGTGTATTTTTTATCAATGGGAATAATTCTAATGCAATCAAAATGTTTTATTCAGAAGCCTCCAGTTAGATTAGCTAAGCAGTACTTTCTGAGAAAGATTTCTTTCTGCTCCAGTTGATGTACTCAGACATCCAACTGCTACTGCAGATCAAATGACTCTGGGTTCAGCATCTGCCGGAGTTGAGATTTTGAATATGTATTCCTTGTTCATTCATTTGAAAGTCAATTTTACAGTACTTCCACCTTTTGTCCTAAAGGGCTCAATAAATGTTCTGTGGTCTTAGGTTACTGATCTGCTACTTGTATATACTAGTTTCACTTTTAAATATTAACAGCCACCAGATTATAGAAAATCAGCTGAGTTTACAGTTGTAAACATATTGGCTGTAAAAGTACTTGAACCAAAGGTTGTTACTGTGGCCCAGGAGAACTTGATCTTGCGAAAAGACAGGTAGGATGTTAGCACTGATGTACACTGAGTAGTGAAAGGCTTCCAAATTCCATTAGTCACCATAACTTTACCAGCAGAAGACACTCTTGAGAGATGCCAAAACAGGTAGTGCCCTTTCTTGGTTTCTATTCCAAATGGGCATCCCTTTCATGAGCTGCATCCCCTGCCTCCTGGCTGTGAAATGAAGAGGGACTGGCAAACCACTGTGCACCTGTTCCAGACAGATTAGCCTCTGGTGACAGCTCATACCCAGAATTTCCTCTGCAGATGCTACCACCCTTCAAGTGAGTCAGAACCATTTGACTTTGAGCTTTTTATAGTTGCTGAGGGTGATGATAGTCATCCTAACAAGGTATAATTCTTAATTTCTCATATTTAATATGCTGCCATTGGTCAAAGATGATACCATAGTTTTCTTCATTCTCATTCCTGTTTGCTTTACCAGCCACAGCAAGACATTGTTAAGCTTTTATGATCATCTGTCATTATGCAGTAAAGTGAGTATTGTCTGGTGGATAAGATGCTGGGCTGAGTTCAGAATTGACTCTGTTAATGAATTCACTATGGGAAATCTAGGGCTATATTACTTCCTCTGCTGTTTTGATTTATTTTTTTTCTTTTTTTCCTGCTGATAAATACATTCATTTAAGAATTCAATAAACAACTCACGCTGAAAGTCAGGCATTCTGGTTTGTAGAACTGGACTTTACATTAAGTTGCTAGTCCAAATTTTGTCTGTATTTACATCTCTTGATGTGTACCATATACAGATGGTGCTAACTGATTTGAAAAAAAAAATGCAGATTTTTTTCTTTGTTCTACTAAATAATTTATTGTGTCCATAATAGCTAAAGAGAACTAATGTGTCAAGTTTTATTCCCTTGAAGTTTTTGTATTTGTTCCTTTTTTTTTCCCCAATGCATTAAAAGAATCAAGCACTTCCTGTTTTGCTCTAAGCACAAATTTAGTTCCTGCTATATCCACTCCAGTGTATTCAGGAAGGAAGGAATAATCCCTTTCAGTCTGTAGTAGTTTTGCAGTGCCTGCACTACCTACAGCTCATATGGTCCATATGCAACTAATACTGGAGGAACTGTGTAATATTTGATTTTTGGAAGTAATAAGGAACAGGCTCATTCATAGGTGAGAATAATATGCCTGGGTTAGCATTGTACAATACACTGAAGCAGACAATGTTCATTCCTGCACTGAGGAGACTGCCATCTGTGAAAACTAAACAAATATTCATATCATAATGAAATGCACTGGATAAAAAGAATTCTAAAATAAAGCCCTTTGCTTTCCAGACAGCATAAAGTGAGTTTGATTAGGCACCACTTGTAAAAGGTAAAATTTGCAAAAGAGGAGGATGTTAAGTGCTCTCTCTACAGAAGGATTTGTAAGGGAAGGATGATAAGATAAAGATTTGTCCAGAGCAGGCCTGGGAAGTGGCTAAGTGGCAACTACAAGATGAGCACGTGGGAGGGAAGGATGCAAACGTTAATTTCACTGCAAAAAAGCAGGTAGGGGGGCAAACTGATTTTTCTTAGTTCACTTAGAATTAAATGACATGCTGGTAAGATACTAAAGCTGTGTTAATTGGGCTTATACTGTTAATTTATCAAACAGGTTTGGTGTGGATAGTTTGTCCTTTCTTTAGAAGTGTATTGAGAACTGTTCAACTGGCAGGGTCTGGTTGTAATGGGTGGTGTTCCCAGGGGTTGGTCATGGGTCTGGTGTTGTTCAAGATATATATCAGTGACCTCTATGAAGAGATAGAATCCACCCTCAGGAATTTTGCTGATGATGCCAAGCTGGGAGGAGTGTCTGACACACCAGAAGACTGTGCTACCATCCAACAAGACCTCGACAGACTGGAGAGTTGGGCAGAGAGGAACCTGATGAGGCTTAATTAGAGCAAGTCTTCTACCTGGGAGGAATAACCGTGTGCATGGGATAACCTGCTGGAGAGGAGCCCTGTGGAGAAGGACCTGTGTGCCCTGGTGGACAACATGTTGGCCACTGAGCCAGCAGTGTGCCCTTGGGGCTGAGAAGGCCAGTGGTATCCTGGGGTGCATTAAAAAGAACGTGGCCAGCAGGTCAAGGGAGGTGATCCTCCCCCTCTGCTTTGCAGTGGTGAAGCTGCATCTGGAGTGTTCCCCAATTCAAAAAAGACAGGGATCTCCTAGAAGGAGTCCAGCAGAGAGCCACAAAGATAATAAAGGGCCTGGAGCATCTCCTGTATGAGGAAAGGCTGAGTAACCTGGATTTGCTCAGACTGAGAAAAAGCAGACTGAAAGGCGGGAACTGATTAATGTTTATAGGTATATAAATGGCGGTAGGAGGTAAATGGGTAAGGCCAGGTTCTTCTTGGTGGTGTGTAGTGAGAAGATGAGGAGCAATGGTCTAAAACTTGAACATTTCATGCAAATACAAGGAAGAACTTCTTTACAGTGAGGTGACAGAGCACTGTAGCA